CCATATCTTCATCACATAGGTGAATCTCCTCCAAAGAGAATTCTAGGTCTCACAGAGTGGATATCACAGGAAAGTACCTTAGAGAGGGTAAACCGCAGATCAACACCGTTAGGATTGTAGAGTTTGCTGCAAGGATTCTCCACATAAAATTTGGGCCGAAACTGACAACGTTTGGCCACCGATCGTCAAGCAAAAAACTCAGAAACCTTACTTTCTCTCTCTATTTCTCTCTCCTCTTTTCTCTCTGCACGTCGTCGCTGTTCACTGTACACGTACGCTGCACGCTGCACGCTGCTCTGCATTTTCTCTGCATGCCCTAATTTGCCTTACTTCACCTTAATTAGTGATTTGGGCTCAATAGGCCCAATTTGTCCAAGCCCAGGGCTAGACCCAACAGGTAGTTAACAAATGTGATATGATTTGTGATGTGATGTTGCTATCTTACCTTTAAACCTTTTTAGCGATTCAAAATAGGTCAAAGTTCTAATAAAAATTCTAATTCAAATTATATTCTCAAGTAATTTAATAAATTAATTTTTTTATATATTTTCTCTCTCTCTCTCTCTCTCTCTCTATATTTTTAGAGTGATATATTCTTTATTGTTAGTAATATTGATAATCAAAGGAGAAGTGTCCACACTAGTCTGTGGTCAACCTATACAGATAATAGAAACATCACTCATATTAGGAATAAAAACAATCAAGTTTAAAATTAGTCATTTAGATTGATGATATTATTGAAATTAAATTGGTCGAGCAACATATAACATATAAAGTTGAAGGAGACATTAACTGGAATATATATAAATAATGATGGTGATCTTGTTGATAAAAGATGTTTATATAAAGGATGATTAAACACACTGATGATATTGGAGAGTTAAGCATGATGAAGATGGTTAGTGTTAGCCAGTTGGGATATATAGATGATAATTTTAGGATTAATATAAGTCCTGTATTTGGAACAGATGCAGCTCACTTAATTGGTGATTTATTAATGGCTACAAGGGTGGGTGGTGCAAATAATCTATTCTCACTTGCATTTGTCATGATTGAGATTGAAAATAGTGGTTTCTATTAAAATTATGAAGTTATATCATGATAGTTTAATTATTGTATATCATTAATGATTAAAACTCAAGTATTCTTTATGGCTATTTAGGATATCTTCCCATAAGTTCATCATGAATATTGTATGTATGGTACATATGTTCGAGATCATGAAACGATTTTTAGACTATAGCTAAAGCTGCAAACATATATAAATTTAATGAATATATAGAAAGGAAAGGATGAGAGAACATCACACTAATAATTATCACTAGATTTGCCAATACTTATTTCTCAAGATGTTGATATTCAATGTTAACCATCAATGGATCCAAAAGCATGAATTCCATGCTTAAGATTTGTTCCTAGTTTACCGATATATTTTTTAATAGAAACGATAAGAATAAAACTCATAGAATGATTCTATACTCGATAGTGAAACAATCGAGGGAGTTGTTTTGAGGAGCAAATAAAAGAAATCAAAGGAAAAGATTAGGTTCTTTGGATTTTTACCTCGTACTAATTGTGAATTTCAAATATAGTCATTCTTGAAGATGGTTATAGTCAACATTAATAATAGAACGTATATTTGCATATGATTTCAGCTATTTAGTTACTCATATGCTCTAATATATGTGGTCGTTGGTTATATAATTTTGAATCTATATATTTGTTTTGTGAAAGTTATTTTTGATAGAAACATGAAAAAAAAATATATGTGAAAATTATATTTCCAATATAAAACAAGCAATATTAGACTCGATGACGAATGATTGAATTAGTCCATGTGAACATGACGATGATGATCGAACCGAAAGGTAATAATAATATGAAAATAAAAAATTTGACGTTAAAGATGTAGACAGACAGTTAGGCCAAAATCATTGTTTGTGTAGATTGTCACAATTCTCATACTTTGTTGTTGTAATTTTGTAGTTGCCAGCATTGATTCATTAAATAGTGGTGTTTTTCGGGTTGTATCGTAGTATTTTAATATAGTTGATATTTAACAAAATACTATAAACTTTACTGTATTACAAATATTAAAACACCATAAAATCTTCTTACTATGTAAAATAGACATCTAATAAAATATTGTATCACATTACTAAAACACTGTAAAACTTTATTATGTAAAACAAAGTTAATAAACAATAACAAAATATAGCAAAATCTTACTATTTGAAATAGACATTTAAAAAAACATTGTATCACATTACTAAAACACTGTAAAACTTTATTATGTAAAACAAAGTTAATAAACAATAACAAAATATAGCAAAATCTTACTATTTGAAATAGACATTTAAAAAAACATTGTATCACATTACTAAAACTTATTGTGTAAAAACTTACAATATAGAATAGATGTTTAAAAAAAAAAAATACTGTATCACATTTCTAAAACATTATAAAACCATACTATGTTCTACAGGTTTATAAGAAAAACACTATCAAATATACAAAAACACTGTAAAACCTTATTGTTTAAAACAGACAATGACAAAAACAATATAAGCACTGCATCACATAAACATCTTCCCTCACATCCACATCACAAATAATTCAACAACATCAGAATTTTTGTAGAGGTTTCTTCTTGAACTTTGGTACTTCTCGACTCAGAACTCTCGCTTTAGATGGTGTAGGAAAGCCTTTCGCTTCAAAGAGATGATTGAGCCCAAAAACCAAAATTCTCATATATATAGATGTTCTCCCATCAATAACATTTATCATCACCAAATCATAACGTTCAAGAATTAATTCAAATTTGTAACGTTTGAATCATAATTAAGAACTTTAATGATATTAAATATTTAATTTAATAATAATGGTTTCATGCATCAAGAATAAAAAACTGAAATCATTTAAATCATAATAAATAAAAAAAATTCATGATAATGAATTATGAATCATAATGACAACAGTTATATTATTATTAAATTAAAATATTTAATAATAACAGTTACAGGATTATCATTGGCAACAACAACGATCTATCTATATAGGATGTAAGACGCTATCGATTCCTATCCTACCAGACACTTATCACAATCTAATTTGTATATTCAAAAAGTAGTTGACGATAATTTTGAAAACAAGACATGACTAGTAATATTTGGGATTTACAATTCTTATTTTGTTCACCGAATCATATTTGAGACCGACCGAGTCCAACCCAACATGATCGATTACATTGCTATCAGTACTCATATTTTAGTAGGTAATCAATCAATTCATGAGCTTGTGTTGCCTTCGTGGCATACTAAATCATATTGGTAAACAAATTGTTGTTGAACTTACAACTCAAGCAATTGCTATTCTCCATATGAATCGGATGTCTTAAAGATGCCAAAACATAAACACTATAATCTTACACTGTCAAGTTGCCATTAGACGTTCTTAGCAGAATGTTTGAGGTACTTTGGATGTTGCTTCCAAAAAATTCAGTATTTATAACATTTTTCATTACCTGATATTTTTAATTGCTTTTACGAGAGAAGTAAAACTATCCATCTAATTTCTTTGAGCACTATTATAAAACCTTGAGAATATATATATATATATATATATATATATATATATATATATATATATATATATATATATATATATATATATATATAGAACTAGAGAAATGGTTGATAGCAATACACTATCCCCTTATAGTTTTTCCTGCTATTGTATGTATGGCCCGGAAAAATCCTTATCTTGTACACACAAAAAAAAGAAAATATTTATAAATGGATATTATTCATTTTAAGTTTCTTATAGGGTTAGTTATGCTCTTAGTATTCCTTTACAAATGGATATTATTCGTTAAAAGAATGAGGCAAGAGTAAAAATTTCTTACTAGACAAATGCATCAAAAGTATTAAATTATTATAATTGCTAGCTAATATTCTATTTGGGATTTGTACATACAAACATCGAAATAGTTGCAATTACAAATAGTAATTGTAGGTAAAATATGTTTCATAAAATAAATAAATAAATAAAGAAAAATATGTTCGTTCTTATTTTCCGCAGATCCTGACGTGCATCACGAAGGCCCCAAACGAATCACCGTTGGAATCTCAAAGCATATGACATACCCATAAACCAAAACGATTACCCCGAAAGCGGAAGGCCTTTTCATCGACGGCGTTCCGTTCGGGCGAAAAGCCTGCCGAACCCGTTGGTTTCAACTCGCTGACGTGCCTCCACTACCGCTTACCTCTACCCACTTCCGGTGTCCACTATTTGCCCTCCTATAATCCGCTGGACCCCAACTCCTATCCCCGCCCCATGCATCGCTCATCACAGGTACCAGCAAACCATTCCCGTGAAGCCTCATCAACTAAAAGCGGAGCCCTCCGTTGCCCCGCTCCGCATCGTGATCCGTCACGCCTCTCTCTCTCTCTCTCGACTCTCCGACGCCCACTGGTATCTTCCTCGTCTATCCTTCCGCTGCTCATTCCTCCTACCCGGTCTTCGAGGTCCGATCGATTTGATACCCACAACCTTATCTTCGGTAAACCCTGGTAGAGGGGTATTGCGCGATGGCCTTCGCACTGGCGGGGATTCGCTTCCCCACCGCGCGGACCGCGCGGCCGTCGTCGCGATCCGGTCTCGAAGGCAAGCGGAGGACCGGCGCCAGCTTCTCTCTTCTTTCGAGGAAGAAGCGGTTCGCTGGTACGTGCTTTTGTTCGACTCTTTATGTTGTTGTTCCTTGTTGTGTGTGTATATCTTCTTATAATCACACCATCTTTTGTTTTTCACTCCTTTGAATCGACGTGTGAGTGCTCTGCTTCTTGGTGTATATTACCGTCCTTTTAGTGCACTCCCGTTAGTTTTATCACTTTTTTTTTCTTCTTCTTTAATTCCTCTAACAGCGTTTAGAATGTGGCATGATCTTAGATTTAGAAAGTAGATGCATGTAGGGTTTGATTTTCTTACCGCTTCATGCCAAGAATGAGGCGGTTCATTTATAGGATGAGGAATTCTGTAGGTGGTGAGGGTACAAGGACCCTGGGCATAACAAGTAAGCTACATGTTGGATTCCTAGACCTGCGATTGGGAAGTTCTGGGGAGTGAGATGTGCCAGGTGTCATGGTCGTTTCTTTGGCAATGAGATGGGGTTGCAGCGTTTTCGTCGCTTGTGCTCATTCATACAGAGCTTTATCGTGATCTTGTGGTAACCGGGGTTTCTGGCAGCTTGAGATTTGACTTATCACATAATTGGTTTGCCCCTTGTATGTGAGATTATCTGACGCTAGGGAACTCGTTTTTAGCATGATAGCAACCAGTTTTACTGAACAAAGTCACATTTCTGTTCTCTTGCAAAAAAGAAAAGATGGCATGCTCTGTGTTTTTTTTTTTTGGATTGACCAAGATTTTGTTGGTTTATTCTAATAAACGGTAGCAAGTTAAAGCTTTTTGATTGTAATCTTGCAGAAAGTATAGTGCAGTTTACTTCTCATGGATAATCACTGAGGATGTTTCATTGTGGTCATTGGGAGAGGTATCGACTAAGTAGGAAGTAGTACCTTTTGTTTCTTAACATCTTTGTCAGAGGTTCAATATTTAGAGATGGCAGATAACGTGTCTTCTAGATAGCCTATAAGCTATGAGGAAGCATTCCATATTTTTTGGCACAAAAATTTGGATTTCTCCTTGCTAGAAGCAAGAGTATTTCGGGTGAGGGTAAACTTTAACCTTTGCTAACATTGCAATTTTGATTATTTTGGACTGGAATATACTTGAGGGCACAAGTGTATACGGTTGTAACCATTCTAATGATTATAAAAAAAAGAAGGAAAGATTCATAATAAAGTCAAATTACAGAAAGATTTATGAATGAAGTAAAGGTTGGTGGAAGACTGTGTGTAAATATCTGTATGGTCTGTAACTAGTTCTTGGACTGTGTTCTTTAAAGGTGAAAATATTAAGCAAGACCAATGATGTTAAAATTGAAGGCTTCAAGTAGTATGTGGTATAGAAGTTTAAATCCATATCAAAAGCTCCTTTTTGGGATTGCCAATTCTGGCCTTAAGCTTATATAGGAAAAGTAGTAGGTTGACTGTATTGTTTGCAAGAAAAAGCACCCTTCTTCTTCTTCTTCTTCTGTCCAATATTAAAGGACGGGATTGCTTAGACTTCAGCAGCTTTTCTGGCCCTTAATCACAGTCAACACAGATGATAATAAAAAATTAGATAAAACCAAATGCAAGAATGATTTTGTCTGAGTGAATATGTGATTTGTCCTATGGGGTTGACCCCTAATACAACAAAGTCTTGGAGAGCCTTTATTTGTTGGAACTAGTTGTATGAATTTGTTTTGAGTTATTGATTGTATATTGTTCATGTTGTGACTCATGGAACTGAAGATGCTGAAAGAGGGCCTTTTCAATTTCATAAAGCATAGTAAATGCTGGATGGCTTCTTTATTGCACACTTCAATGAAATTGTAATTTTGTGAGAGCTGCAGATAAGGTTGCAACTATGCGCTTATAAAAGGTATAGTGATCTATCCATTTGACTGACTCTGCTTATTTTTGCACATTCTTACATAGCATGTCAGCTAATTTCTTATTGTTTCATCTACCTTATCTGGAGAAAATTAATTATTGAATAATTGAGTTTTCTCATCTGTTGGAAGTCATTCTGTTCTTTTAATGTTTTGGTCTTCATCTCTTGAAATGGTTACTTCTGTCTCTTTAAAACTTATCATTGTATTCCTAGGGATAATACTCACAGGGAGTTCTTGTGATACTGACCCTACATCTACAACTGTTGCTGCATCTGATGGAGTGCTAGTTCCCGGTGCCGAAAGTGATGATTTGTCATCCTCTACTGACATGATTTCAGACACAGAAGCTGCATCGAGTAATCTGCAGGTGATCTTATACATATGCTTTCTGCAGCTGGTCTTGCTATTATGTTCAGCTACCCACCACAATTACCAACCATGCTGAGAACAAGAATCTTATGTTTCACATAGTATCTTCGGTTAGGCTCTTGAAAATTTTGTATGACCTTTTTAATATATTTTTCACCATATTTTGGTTTCTCATTTAGTTGTAGTGTGAATACTTCATTAGCAATACAGGTTTAAGTTGAATTTTAACATACCTTTTTATTTTTTTTCTCAGTCTAAGCAGGTTGTGCACAAACTTATATCTATAATTAATAATCAGATCTGAGTGATTCTTTAGGTATCACGAGAAACAACTGGTCTAATGATGGAGGAGTCAGAAGCTGGGCAGACATCAATCTCTTCTGAATTCATTGGTGAGGAAAGTATGGACGAAGATGTCAAGGATGCAGTTTCTTCTCAAGCCATAAAAAGAATCGTGGACGTTCAGGAGAAACCAAGATTTGTTCCTCCACCTGGTACTGGACAAAGAATTTATGAAATTGATCCATCTTTAAATGGTTATAGAGGACATCTTGATTATCGGTAGGCTTCCATTTGTCACTTCTTTTTCTTTTTAACTGAGAGTCTTTCTTGATGATAGAAAAATCTTTTTTTCGCATATGATCTGATGATAAGGCACCTACATTGAGATATGCAGCAAAAATATTCACTTCTTTATTTGCTTCTTAGTTAGGCCTGTTACTAGTGGCCACCTTTTATAACTCACTTGGATTGCTAATCAAAAAATTTCCCTTTTCATTATTAGTTCTCCTTTTGATTTTTTTTTTTTGGCAAAACAAAAAGAAAATCTATTAAGACTTCAATGTATTGGCAGAATGACCTGTTTAGGTCATTCTACAAAAGGATTACAAGATCTGATGGGTAGGGATCTGCCCATTTAGAACTGGATTTTCCAGATCTAGCATTTGATGCAGCCCAATTGGCTGCTTGGTTACACTCTCGATAACAATGAAGAACAGTGTAGGAATCTAGCATTGACTGTAGTCCTTTGATGTTGCTGATAGTGCTGTACATATTCCATGGTGGATTTAAACCTTTGGTGAGTATATCATGTAGCAGCATTGAGTCAGTTTCAACTTGAATGGTTGGGAATCCACCCGCAATGGTAGCTTGTAGTCCAGTTTGGGGTGCCAATGCTTCACATTGTGCAGGAATTTTACTGACAACATATTCCTGCCCGGCTAGTATACCTGAACCTGAACCATCATGATCCCAGAAAACATAGCCAAGTCCACCTTCCTGCAGCAAACATGAGCCATCGCTATTTAATTTAACCCATCCCTGAGGCGGTTTTACCCATTTAACCCATAGATAGCTGCTCAATCTATTGCATTTCAACTGGGTTGTGGATCTAGCATAATAGCTAGTGAAGGATAAAGCTTGGGACCAAGTCCCAGTAATAGAGGGGAGTTTTTTGTTAAACAAGGCAGGATTCTGTGCCTTCCAGATAAACCATAATTGGTTTGCTATGACAGCTTGGAAATGTTTCCCAAAACCCAGGTCATTAACTTCAAGGAGCCAGTCACCTAAAGCCCAAGAGTCTTTCAATTGGAAGGAGTTAGGTAAATTGTCTCTCCAACAATCCCAAATTTTATTGAAAAAGGGCATTCAAAGAAGATATGGTCAATAGTTTCAGGTGAAATATTACAAAGGGAACAAAGCTGCTGTGATCTCAAATTAAATCTTTGAAGTCTATCAATTGTATGTAATCTTTTGTGTAGAAGTTTCCAACAAAAAAAAGTTGTTTTTTAGGTAGAACAGGAATTTTCCACAAGCTCTGCCAGTCGTACCAATTGGAGTTATAAGGGGCATAGATCTGCTGTCTAAGGCAAGTATATGCTCCCCTAGCAGTTGCCTTGCCTATTTGATTTGTCTTCCAAACCCATTTATCATCAGAAGAAGAATGAACAACTTTGATGGATTTAATGTGACAAATTAAACTATTACCAAACATATCCAATAGCAACTAGGAGTCCCAGCTACCAGATCAGATAAGAGGAGTACTTGATGCACCCTCAGGGATGGAAGAAGGATTTATGTATGTAGGTTTAGGATTCAAAGGCAAAGCAAAAAGCCATGGATCCTTAAGAATATTTGTTTGAAAGCCATTACCAATAATTTTGATAAAAGCCGATCGAAGATTGAAAAGAGCATTCATAAAGAGGCACTAGCTCCAGTTGACATCCTTAGATTCTATAGGAAACCAGGGACTAAATGATCCATATTTGGCATGAATAACAACAGTACACCAAAGATTATCATCTTTATTGAGATAACGTTGAATACAAGTAGCTGGAAGAATATGTTTAAAAAGAGATAAATCTTGAACAGATAAACTACCCATATTCTTATCATTTGTGTCAGTGTTCTAATTAACTAGGTGAATTCCTTTGGCATTCAAATTCTTTTGTTAAAGGAAGTTTTTAGTCAAAGTTTTAACTTTTCGAGGAGTTGACTTAGGTAACCAATTGATACTAAGAGTATGGATTGGGATGGAGTTGAGGATGGATTTAATAACCACCAGTTGACCAGCTTGGGGGAGATAATTACATTGCCAAGATGCAAGCTTTGATTTACACTTAAGGTGTAGATCCTCATGAGAACTAGAAGGTGGACGACGAGGAGAAAAATATGCACCAAGATATTTGAGAGGAAATTGATCTTCTTTGAAACCAAGTAAAGAATAGGTATTAGCTCTAGTGTTTCTAGGAGTGGACTTAGTAAAATAAATTGCCGATTTGGATAAATTAACACGTTGATTAGTTAGCGATTCATACTTGTCAAAGATAGATTTAATAGTTAAGCAGGATTTTTGGCTAACTCTGAAGTATAAAAGAATGTCATCAGCATACATGATATGGCTGACCTTACAAGAGGAATCAAATCTAAGTGGTGTAAGTTTATTAGATTCAACTGATTGGGATAATAATTGAGTAAGCATCTGAGCAATTAGGATATAGAGCTATGGAGACAAGGGATCTCCTTGTCTTTCCCCACATCTACCAGTGAAAGAGTTGGACATATGTCCATTTATTAGACAGGTTAAAGAGGGGGAAGAGATACAAACATTAATCCAATAGATAAATTTGGAAGGAAAGTTCATAGATTTCAGAACCTTAAGAATGGAATCCCAAGATAAGTGATCAAAAGCCTTTTCTAAATCAAGTTTAACTAAACTTAGAAGAATTTTCTCCTTAGAAGAGAACATAATATGAGAAGCCTCTTGTGCAATTAAAATATTATTGTAAATACTTCGATCTGGGAGGAAAGCAGATTTAATTATAACTGATAAGGTTAGATAAAAGAGGCTTTAAGCGATTAGAGATAACCTTGGAAAGAATTCATAATTGATATTAGATAATGCAATCGGCTTGTAATGAGTAACATCAGTTGGATTCTTAATTTTTGGGATAAATGTGAGAAATGTTTTGGTCCAATTGATAGGAACATGTGAATACTGATGAAACCAATTAAAAACATTAAGGGAAGGAGCTAAAGTAGCCTAGTAAGCCCTATAGAATTCACATGTAAAACTATCAGGCCCTGGACTTTTGCCAAGACCTAAAGAGTGGACAGCAGAGGGTATCTCTTCGAGGGAGAATGGTTTAATTAAAGATGAACTTTCAACAGAAGATAAACTGGCAAGACTGGGCATAGAAATATTAGGTTGAATAAAATGAGAGGTGCTCTAGAGTGTGGTATGATAATTACAAAAAGTAGACAAAATATTACTTGTATCATGAATTAAGCCTATAGAAGGGTCCATAATACCTCTAACCATGGTTCGCATTACTGGTCCATACCGGTGTATCGACTAGCTGTTGATACAGTATGTACCGAGCATACCGACACATCGTACACTAGGGGTGTATTGATATACCATTTATATCGGTCCTCTGTCGAACTGGTACATATCGCCCGTACCGAGTGGTACGCTTTGGTATGTCAAACCTTGCCTCTAATAAAGTTTTTATGGTGAGTTATTAAATTGTGAAAGTATTTGACATTCCTATCAGCAGCATTAACCCAAGAGCATTTTGCTTTAGCCCACCATTTAATGTTAATTTGTTTAATCAAAGCTAATTGGTAATTATGTTGGGAAGCAAGGTATTGAATCTGAGATTCAGTAGGGATACTATCTTCAAGCTGGGATTCGAAAGCATAATGGAATCTTTTAGGAGATCCAATTATGTTCAAACTTACCAAGAGAGTACCTATTCCAGTGAGAGAAAACCCTTCTCATCTTACAAAGATTTTGATGAAAAGAATCAAAAAGAGAGTTTGAATTATGGATTGTATTCCAATTAGATTGGACAAGATTGTTAGTTTCTGGATATTCAGGCCAAAAAATTTGAAAGTGGAAGAGTTTAGTACCAGAAGAATTCGGAAGCTGAATATGAACCTTAAGAGGTGCATAATCAGAACAAGTCTGAGGGAGATGGAAGACAGAAGATTGACCAAAGAATTGAAACCAAGAAGAGTTTCCAAACACCCTATCTAAACGCACAGAAATTCGAGCATGACCCTTATGATTATTACACTAAGTGTATTTGGGGCCAAAGAAACCTAAATCCATTAAATCATAACTTTTCACAAAATCATGAAAACCTTGAACAGAAAGGTTAGTGTTAAAAGCAAGTCCACCAGATTTATCAGAACTATGCAGAATTGAACTAAAATCCCTTCAGACACACCAAGGTATATCAGAGAAATTTAATGCAGAAAGATTCATCCATCAATCATTGCGTAAAAGAACAGAAGTACCAGTATAAAAATCAGTTAAAAGCCATGGGTTGCTATTTTGAAATTGAACTACAGCATGTATTAGCTGAGATTAGACAGATAGCACTTGGACATAAGCAACAGGGGCGAACCAAACAAGTAAGATTCCACCAGAAGCACCGGTAGCTGATTGAGAAATCCCCCGCCAGTCCTTCCCAAAGCTTCGGATTAGTCTTTGAGATTGTTCATCCATAGCATGAGTCTCCTGCAAAAGGATTGGTGCAGGCCTATATGTTCTTTGGGCATAAGTAAGGAAATCTTTGACAGATTTCCTTTTAATACCTCTACAATTCCAATAAATAATTATCATGGTAAAGAGGGTGAAGAAATAGAAAGCTGTCCATCAAATATAGGAATATCAAGAGGACAACTAATTGCAGAGAGCAAAATATCTTCAGAAATAAAAAAGGATGATTTCAACTTCTTACCCTTAATGGCCCTAGTGATGGATTTAAAACTAGATATTGTATGAACTCTCATATTTTGAAGTTTTGTAACTGGGGTTTTACCTTGTTGATCTAGGAAATCACGGAGAAGATCTGAGTCAGCAATATCCTCCTCCACTTGTATGGGTTGAGTAGTAGAGTCATGCATAGATTTTAATCTTGATACAACATGAGCAACAAGCTCTTGAGCCTCAAGAGGACCATTTGGGTTAAGTTGCTGGGCGATTGAAGGGGTGGAAGATGAAATGGAATGGTCGGCTGTGTGAGAAGGGGGCATAGGGCTTTCAAGGTTCGTAAGTGTATCAAAACTGTTTGTTATTAAAGGCGACACAGGTGGCAACAACATCATAGAAGCTTAAGAGGTATTATGGATTGGATGCATAACTAGTATCGGATCCTCCATCATATTCATATCCACTGCATTTAAGGTGGTAGTGGATGTATGGTTTTGAGGCATCGCCTCAGGTTCAAAAGGCACAATAGATGAAGGGACAAGGTTATGGCAACTATTAGTAGCATTGGTAACTGGCAGTTTCCTGTTAATAGAGGACGTTCGAGAGGTGTTTGGTCTGACTGACGAGGGAACTGTTAGAAGCCATCATGACCTGTGTGGTTCCTTCATGTGAGAATCACATGTTGAACTCACAGGCGGTTGCTTTGACGATTCTGCCACCGTCGATGAGTTGACCATACCTTTTGCTAGTCTTCTTACGATAGGGACGATTTTGAACTCGAATCCATGGACCATAAAGAACTTCATCATTCCCTTAAGTACTTGTTGAATCTGGTTGAGGTCTCTGAACCATAGGGTTATGGTCTCCATCCAAGGATGTCAACGATACAGGGCAAACAGGTTGGAAAATTAAGAAGGAATAGTGTAAGCATCAGTGCGATGCCCTAAACAACCACAATGATAACACACGGAAGGAAGATTTTTGTAAGAAATAACCTAAAAGAAACATTCATTGGGTTCACCAATCCAGAAACCCTGGATTAAAGGTTTAGTGATATCGATTTCAATGTAAATACGTGTAAAACAACCATGTTCAAGACATAGAGATCTAGGATCAATTTTAATGGGACGACATAGTAAAGAAGCAATCTGGTAGAGGGATTCCTCATTTTAGTACTCGATTGGAAGCCTAGATAAATGGATGAAAATAGGGGCAGTATTAATAGTGGTAGTTATAGGTTGGAAATTAGGGCACCGTGGAATCAGTTGCAAAATGTCACCACGGAAGTGCCAAGGTCCTTCAGTGAGGACACGAACGGAATCAGCCTCAAAGTTAAATATGAATAGGAAAAACCCAGACTCAAAATCCATAACAGTAGGGGGAACATCCAAGGACCATAGTTTAGCAAACCAACTGCATTGTAGGATTGATGACAATTTACATGCTTTCATGAGTTCATCTTGATCAACAGACTTAGACTTATAGAGATATATTGGGTTGGACATATGTGGAATCAGATAATTGGCACAAGTCCCTCAGAAAATAAAGAGAAGATAATTAGGGTATTCTGCAAAATAAGAACTGAAATGAATTGTGAGCATATTTATAAATGTAGGTGGGCATTTTAAATCATTTGAGCATGATGTCAGTTATGTCAAATGATGTATGACATTATCGACAGGTTATTCATTTTACTTTCAATCTTTTCCAGCCAATAGGTGGTTGATCTCTTTTTTGGCAGAATCATTTCACATGTCTTATTATGGTTCGTGTATCCATGTTTCTGTGAACTTCAGGAACTTAAGTTGACACCATAATTTGGTATAATATTTTCTAGATATGACCAGTACAAGAAAATGCGTGAGACGATTGATCAGTATGAAGGTGGTTTGGATGCATTTTCCCGTGGCTACGAAAAATTTGGTTTTCAGCGAAGGTAGGCTTTTGATTTTCTCATGTTTTTATTAAAGCTATGGTCCCTTGTTTCTTGCCTCTATTGTGCTATAAAGTTATCGTAGTTTTAACTTCTCATAATAAATGCAGTTCTTGTTAGAAGCGTAAAATGAGAATATATTTTTTTCTTCCAACGGTGTTTGTGTTCACAAATTTTTGGTTTAGCACAAATTTTTGGTTTAGGATATAGCATATGGTGTAATCTTCATTCATTTACAACAAAGAATCATGCCATGGTTGCTCACCTATTTTCTGTTCCTTTCTGTCACCGCCTTCTTGCTATTGGGCTGTAGTGGTTAACTTCTAGTTTATAAATATATTCATGCTAGATTTGTGATCGTATATGTGTAGATATTTTGGGTTCTTTCAGTTGAAAATAATTATTCAATATTTTCAGTTTAAAATCCATTTTTTCTTTATTTATGATGCTGGATTTTTTTCTGGATTTATGATGCGTCCCATATTTAACTTCTGGTTAGAGGTTTTACTTTTATTAGATCTAGATCACGTCAATTTTAGGTTCAGATTTTAATCTTCTTGAGTCAATTGTTCTTTTTAGGTTCAGGATCGAATCATTTGTGCTTGCATATGCCAATGTACTGGTTGGCAATGACCAAACAGAAAGACGGAGAGAAGGGGGAGAATGGAAGGGAAAGAAAAAGCTGTGGGAGAAAAGATTAAAGAAAAAAAAAGAGCAAGACAACTGTAAAAAAATTGATACTATCAAAACTGGATGAAAAATTTGGTTTAGGAGGGTTACTAGGTTGTAACCCTGCTCTGGACCAGATTGGGTGAATCTGGAATAGTTAAAATTGCTTCATCTGTATCCTGTTTTCTGGTCTGACTGGTAAATCAATGTCAGTATAGACTAGTCTGACTGATATTTTATTCCTTCGTTTGGAGATCATTTGTAACATGTTACTGTACATGAGCACTGTTTATGCTACAGTTCCAGTGCCATGCTATAGTAACATCAGGATTCTTTTGTCAAAGTTTAAAGTTCTGGCCCATTAGTAGTTTCATTAAAAAAGAAAGAAAAAGTCTGCATGTTCCTTGGAACAATCCTGACAGACTTCAATTTATAAGACGTGGCTGATTTTGCCATATTTTTCCTTTTTCCTGTACCTTTCTTTCTTCAAGAATGCATCTATAAGTTGAATCCTGTGAGTCCTTTCTTTAAGAATCTTATTCGAGAGTCAATGGAAAGATTCAGAATTGGATACTTGCTGATGAAAGCATGAGTTTTCTTTATGTCATTAATGGGTATTACATTTTCCTCCTATCTATTGATTTCATCCTACTTCTGACATATTTCTTACATCTGTGGGCTATTTCGACATTCTTTTTTCCCTTATTTTATTAGTTTGTCATCTTCTATCTTAAAACCTAAAAAAATCATTGAATATGATCATTACATATTGAGATGATACAACCAAAGTATGCAGTTTCGAATAATACCGCCCATTATCGGATGGTATATATATATATATATATATAAGGCGACCTCGGGGATGTCATCTCGGCGATGTCGCTCGAA